TTAAAATCTTCCTTGCCATGCCTGTAATTTTCTGAAGTCCTAAAGTGCTTGGGATGGCAGTGACAGGAGAGGACTCCACAGAGCGGGAATGCATTTCTCATCAGATCCAGATGCACACTCACATTCCTCCTCAGTCACATTCCCTTCTTCAACGTCTTGCGACTTTCTCAGACAGCTGGATGTGCTGATGGCACTCATCTTGGTCAAGCCTCGTCACAGCCCTGGCTTCAACTCAAATAGTACTTGGAAGGTCCTGATGTCATCTCTCATTATCGTCCTTAGCTGTGTGAGCATCTTAGGAGATGACTAGTTCTCAGGCTTTCAAGTATAACACCCCCACTCCCACATTCAATAACCCAGCAAATTCCATGCAAAGATCTTTGGATGTTCTGCTCTATTTTGAGGCTGGTGTACTAGACTGTATAGATGTTAAGTCTAAAATCTAGCAAAAAAATGTTTCTTGCTTTATGTTTAATTAATCAGTTAACTATTTTAACCTTTGGCATAATTCACAAAAGGATTTGTGGTACACTGAAAGAATATGATTTTAAAATAGGAGGAGAAGGAGCAGAGCACAGTAATCACGGAGGGAAGGATTAAATCTGGAAGAAACCTGAAGTACTCTACAGTGGCCGTCACGGGCTTTGAAGAACTGATTATACACATTGCCAGCTAGTGGCATCCAGCTTGTGCTTAGCTTTTTTTTTTTTTAATTAATACCTAAGTTTCCTCCCCTCTGAACCAGTAAAGAGCGTTGTTACGCGGAAGCTAAATTACTTGACAGATAAGGCAGGGTGTCAACTAGAGTAAGAGCATCCTCAGGTACAGAGGAATGACTGAGCCTCCAGTAAAGCTGTTGGTCCCTTAATCCTGAAGGAATTAATGTAAGAACGGTGTGGCGGCATTTTGTAATTGTCTCTAAGACATACTTCTACTCTAAGGCACGTTTTTTAGCATTTCCTTCACTGTCATTCACCTGTCTATGCTTTTGTAACATGAAAGGAAAGAGGAGACTTGGTGACTCACCAAGTCCACTAGGAACCTGTTGTTTAGAAATAAGAAAATGTCTTGGTAGAACTGTCAGAAACAACGCAATACTAGACTATATTTGGTGTGTATTGCTGCTGTAAGAATCTACTACAGACTTCAAATAAGATTTGTTATCTTAGTCTCTAGGTCAGAGAGTAACATGAGGCCCACATGTTAAAATACAAGTCAGCAGAGACTCATTCCTCCCAAGAACCTGCAGGCGGCAAGCCAACTGCCTCTCCTTTTCCAGTTTTGTCTTCTGGTTTCTGTCTTCTTTCCTCCACCCTCAAAGCCAGCAATGGTGGCATGAAGTAGATTTGGTCTTGTATTACGTTTAAGTCATCTCTTGGGGAGGAGTTAGTCTCTTTGACTTTGATTCTATGAAGGGCATTCTAAGGAGATGAGAGATAGAACACCAGACCAGTAACTACCTATTCAACGTGCCCAAGGAGGGATTCATGTGTAGAGATACTATATTTAAGCATTCAGCACTACAGTTTTGAGAAGTCATTTGTGGTTGGGGTGGGCCTGTCCAGAGCTGACACAATATTGGGAGAACTGACTAGAGGAGAAGGGAGGATGAAGGTAGCTCATGATGCTGGAAGGGCGGGCTGTGGTCGCAGCACTGAATTGATGTATGGTGTTGCCCAGCTGGCTTCCAGTTCAATTCTAGCAGTGTTGTCTGTGTATCCCGAGAAACACAGTGTCACACAGTGTTGAGTGTGAATAATGAAGTATGACATGAATATTTGGGAACATCAGTGCTTTACATGTGGGTAACAGTGAACATGTTAGACACCGGTTAAAGGTTTTCAAAGGCAGAATGTGAGAAGGCAGTGTGTTTTTAAAATGCATGCTTCCCTGGACCATGAGTTGTCCACTTGCCATTCTACCCATGTACTTCTGCCAGGGTTCTAATGGAGTACATGATTTCCATTCCAGTAACTCTGAGCCTGTGTGAAAAGGGATGGAAAGCCAGTCAGGAGAGGAGTGTGGACTTTGCCACAAGGGTTTGGTTCCTTTTTCTTTTTTCTGCCAATCCTCTAAAGCCAGGTTATCATCTGTTGAAATAAAATGAGAAGAGAGCCTTCGGAATTGGGATGCTGACATCAGAACAAGGCTGAGGGTACACAGCCAGAGCTGGGGTGGAAGGGCCGAAGATAACGGGAAAGAATGACTGGAGCCTGGGAGATCTCGCCAGCAGCCAGTCCTGGTTCTAGTTGCCAGCATCGGGTTCCTGGCTCCCGGGCTGAGATGATGCCCTGCTGGAGACTGGAATCGAGGCCCTGGAGCTGAACTGTGTGGGGTGCGACCTCAACTGGTCCTGGTATAAAGTTCACCCCTAATGTCTAATCAACATATTTCTTCACATAGGCCTTGAAAAATGACCTAGACCTCAAAATAGATGTTTGTGTGTGAAAGTGAAATCATGATTTGTCAGTAACGTATTTTAATTAAAGAGACACCATAAACCCTGACGGCTGACTCAGGGGAAATGTTAACCTATCAACACCTTAATCTCCTGGCAGGAAACTATCTGTCCCTCCTAATCTTCTGATCATTTAGGGGTGCTATGTGGTAATTTTTAAAAGACTTTAAGAGACAGTCTGAGGTATTTATATAACATGCTCGTTTTTTTAAATCAAGTTATGAAAGTATTTCTTTGAAGTTACTCAGTAGTCAAGTTTCTCAGCCAAACAGAACATCACTCTAACTTTAAAGCTGAGATCATGCAGAATACTTAATTAAATGTGGATCCTATTGGCCTGAAATTGTCAGAATTATTGACATTTTTAACATTGCATTTCTGATTTATGTCCCTGTCATCAAGATGTCTGACTCTGTTTCCGTAAATGTCAGCGATGCTCTTTCCTTCATTCCTGTGATAGCCGGGTCTCTGAAGGGGACCACTGTCTACAATTACCTTTGGATTTTGTCCAAATCTCAGTTCCCTCTGCCCTCGTGGCATGTGTTAATTTGACATCCCAAATTCCTGAAAAGCAACCAGCACAATTTGAAACCAGGTTGCTATCCAAACCAAATTGTATTTTTAATGATTTGATTGGAAAGTACAAAGAATGACTTTCAACTAAAGCTTCTTACCGTGAATACAAACGTTTAATAAAGCAAGGCAGGCATGCGGTACTTAACCTGCCCTCCCAGCTTCAGAGAGAAATATATTCAGGAAAGGAATTAATCACACATGAAATCCCAGCCGGGGCCTGCTTGTGCAATCTGTCAAGGAGGTTTAAATATGCTGGGACCTCTCTTTAGCTGAACCTTAGTCAGACTTCCTAGCTCCCAGAGTCTCCTAGGATATTTAATGACAATACAAGAAGAAAAATAGCAACCTGAAATCAGTACTGAAGCCATCATAACAAGAGAACCCAAGACACCGAGGCTCATTACAAGATCGCAGTCATTACAGTCTTGCCCTAGCGAGTAAAAGCTAAAATTAAGTATATGATGATATGCAAAAGGGGTGACATTTTTGTCATGTGAATAACGATTTAGGGGTTCCCACTTCCCAAAGTTTGAGCGCTTCCACTCTGGATGTTATATAGCTAAAAAGGAGTTAGGGTTGAGGCAGGAAACAAATCCAACAAGGTTTATTACACATTAGTGTTGGTTCCAGATCAATCGAGAATGTCAGTTGTGTTCTGCAGATGGGTCTGAGCATTGCTGGGGGCGCGGGCTGTTCAGTGGGATATGCGCACAGCATTCCATCGCTCACTCAGTGTGATCTTGCAAAGAAATTATACAGATTTTTTTCCCTCCTCTTAATACTTTAGGAGTAAGCTCCCCTAGCTTTGCGTCTGAACAGATGTGGAGCTGTTTGGTGGAATTAATAAGGTGATATATCATGGGCAGTCAGTGTTTTTCACCACTGTAGATAACTTGTCAGACTGCGGAGAAAAACGTTCACCGACTTACTAGAACATGAAATTTAAATCTCTGATCCAGATAATTTTAGATGCTTTGATTTCATTATAGAAATTCCTCAACTACTTGTGGATAAAACAAATGCTAAGATCGTATTGAGTTTCACCAAGCTGAATTAGCAGAAAACAAAGATAAAATGCCTTTCTATTTAAGAACATGATGATGTTTTAATTGTTATAGCATTTGGCATGCCTAATGTATACAATCCTTGACATTCAGATAATAACAAAAGAAAGTTGTTTGGGATTTTTCTTTTATTTCTTAGTGTCCGCTTTCCTCTCTGCTGTTTCTTCAACCCCTGTGCCGGCCCTGGCCTTTGCCTCTCCTCCCACCTCTTCATCCTTCTGTAAAGAAAACCCTACACAGTGAAGGGGGTGCATGTAAAAATACCTCATTTCTATATAGATGGGCCAAGGCTGCCTGTTACCTAGCTGTGATACACAGACCACCATCGTTGTGACAGCTGATGTCCGTGCCTCTGGCTGAAACAAAGGTTTACATATTACACAAGCAATTTAACTGTTTTCTAAACAGGATTGCCAAGACAGTGGGAACTGGCAGCCCACACTGGGTTTGGGGTTTGGGAGATGTGGATTAGAAGTGACTGTTGATTATGAACCTTTTTATTTGTCTTCTATCAACTCCAAGCACCCTAGTAACCCAGGAAAGAATGTCTCACAACACTTCAACTTGTCTTCCTAGCTTCCCAAGATCACATACACAAATCACTTCACAAAAGTGGTGTTAAGACTCTTGCACACAGATAACCACACAATCGGTAGAACAAGACAATTGTTCGTAAATTGTCCTTAAAGAGTTCCACACAGAGAAATGTTTTATAATCCTTTTTTGTGTAGTAGGCAAGGAAAGGAAAGGGAAAGAAAAAGAAAGAAACAAAGAAAAGAAATGAGGTTGGTTGGGCAAAGATTACCCAGAAGCAAGAAAGAAACTCTTTTGGAGTCTCAGTTGAAACACAATAAAGAACATAATTAACTTCACAATTCTTTGTGTTTTTCATTTGACTGCAGGGAGGAGATGAAAGAGGACTGTTAAGCCTTGCATTCCATCCCAATTACAAGAAAAATGGAAAGCTGTACGTGTCTTACACCACCAACCAAGAGCGCTGGGCCATGGGGCCGCACGACCACATCCTCCGAGTTGTGGAGTACACGGTCTCCAGGTATGGCTGAAAGGCCCTGAGCAGACAGATGTGTGACTGGTGTTGCTCTTCATCTCCTCACATCCTCTTTGTTTCCAAATGACAACTCCCTAGCCATCAGGCCGTAGCAATGAAAGGAAAACTGCCACCTTGTGTGTATGTTTTTAAGAAGAAAAGAACAATGATGGCCTTTGACCCCTTTCCTCTGGTATCTCCCGAGTTAAATGCTACTTCTAGAGTATAGAAATGAGCAGACTTTTACGGGCTCCATTCCAAGTATAGGTTTCTTATTTCTGGGCTGGATTTGGTTTTCCTGTGTGCGTGCTGCTCTCCGGTGGCTTTGCCTGTGTCTTTAATGGTCACGCTGTCTTTCCTTTCCCCCAATGTAGGAAGAATCCCCACCAAGTGGATTTGAGGACAGCCCGGGTGTTTCTGGAAGTTGCAGAGCTCCACCGCAAGCACCTGGGAGGACAGCTGCTCTTTGGTCCCGATGGCTTCCTGTACGTCATCCTCGGGGACGGGATGATCACACTGGACGACATGGAAGAGATGGATGGGTTAAGGTAAGGGACACTGCGGATGGGTGCCTGGTGTCCGAGAGCATGCTGGCAGGGCCAGGAGAAGGGGGCTGAGCCAGGGAGCCACAAACCCACATGGCATCACATCACCTGGCTTACGTATCTGGCAGTTGTTGTCCCGTGTCCATATTTGCAGAGCGCAGGGGAGTTCAACCTCAGGCCGAGGCGCTGCTCCTCTCCTGGTCACGAAAGGAGGGGCTGCAGTGCCCCCTGTGCCGGGCCTCTGCTGCCCTGAGCCACGCGCCTGCTTCCTGGGGGCACCTGCTGCTCAGCACCTCCCATGATCCTTCACTTCCCTTTGCATAAAACTCATGGGCTGACAAAAATGGAAGAGGACAGATGTAGGAAAAGAAAAAAAAAAAAAGCAGTGTGTTAATGGTGCCACCGTCCGTGGCCAGCTCCAAGCCGAGGCTGGGCACAGTGGAACAGTTGTGTCTCAGATAAGGGAATGGTTCTTCACTGCCTTGCGGCTTCACCACACAGCGGCCAAACTTAAAGCACTCACGCCTCCCCCCCCCCCCCATCTCTCAGCGACTTCACAGGCTCCGTGCTGAGACTGGATGTGGACACAGACCTGTGCAACGTGCCTTACGCTATCCCTCGGAGCAACCCCCACTTCAACAGCACCAATCAGCCCCCAGAAGTGTTTGCGCATGGGCTCCACGACCCAGGCAGGTGAGATGGTGACCCGCTCTGAAGGACCAGCAGGTACTGCCAGGAGAAAGAGGGTGTGGGGTTGCTGGGCAGACGAGCTGAGGGCCAGTGTGTGCCTCTAAAATCAGACCACGCCATGGGCTGGGCAGGTGTGGGGTCGCTGGGCAGACGAGCTGAGGGCCAGTGTGTGTGCCTCTAAAATCAGACCGCGCCATGGGCTGGGCAGGTGTGGGGTCGCTGGGCAGACAAGCTGAGGGCCAGTGTGTGTGCCTCTAAAATCAGACCGCGCCATGGGCTGGGCAGGTACTCGCCCCCTTTCTTCTATGACTGTGTAAGTCATTGACAACGCAGATTAGACCAAAAATAAATAAATAAAAGAATAAGTTATAGAGAAAAACAATGACTTCAAATTGGAGGAGATTACTGCCCGGTACAAATTGCTGGATAGGTGTAATGACTAACATCATCACTCCTTTGCAGAGATAATGAACCTTTGGACCTCTTTCCTTAAGCCTTTCTAAATATTATTTTACTTACTGTGCTAGTCTGTTTTGTGCTACTGTAACAGAAATAAACACTATGGACCGGGTAACTAATAAAGGGGAGAAATTTATGTGGTCATGGTTCTGGAGGCCAGGAGTCCAAGTGTCTCAGCTTCAAGTCTTTTGAAAGATTCTTGCTAGTTCTTCCCAAGGCAGAAGGTGAGAGGGAAGGAGAAGGAGAGAGAGAGAGAGAGAGAGAGAGAGAGAGAGAGAGAGAGAGAGAGCGCCCAAACCATCCTTTCCTTGGGATCTCACAGTGGCCTATGGGCACCAATCCCTTTCTAAGGGCAGAGTCCTCATGACCCATTTGACCCTTAACCATTCCACCTCTTGACATTGTTTGCTGCAATCGGGATTAAGTTGCCAACACGTGAACTTTGCAAGACACATTCATACCACAGCCCTTATATAATAACTCTGCTGTCAGGAGGCTGTCAAGACTGGATAAAAAAAAAATCTAGAGACAAAGCACAAGGTGGGGTGTCTGACACCTGGAAGTTCTTATTACACAGCTTCACTTAATATACGATGATGTAGTGTTAACGGTTTACTTCGGAAAAATTACAAATACTAAAGGAATTCAGGCCGGCTGCTTGCTCTACTATAAAGAAAGGAGAAGTTAAAAGGATGTGGAGTGAGAAAGTTTGGATATATTATTTTTAAAATACCATGAAGTATAATATAGAAATTCTCTGATGAAAGCTTCACCCCACCTGTGGTGTATTATTCATGCAAAAGATACCAGGCCACATTCATTCATTTATTAGCGCAGTTATTCTTGCTATTTAATGTTTATTGAGTGTTCGCTATGTGCAAGGTGAATGTTTCTCAGCCTTCTTATTTTTTTATAATCCTTCATGCCCTTCATCTCCCTTCCATCAAAGCCCAAATCCACAGTTCATTTCCCTTTTGGCATCTCAGCAGATCTTAAAATCTGTTCGACGGGGAATACTGACGGTGCGCTCAGGATGTGGAGGAAACTGTCACATTCCATTCCCACAGCTCACAGCTCACGGACACCCTCACAAAGCAGCACTTTGATGCTGGGCGGTTCGAGTCACCACGACCCTGCTTGGGGCCTTCTTGTAACCTCCCTGGGGGTCCTGAGCCTCAAGTGCAAAAATATAGGAAAAGGCATTTTATGGACCGTGTTTGGGGCAAAATGGCTGTACAGTGAATTTCTATCTCCACTGGCAGCAGGGAGCAGAGGAGAGCATTTATATTCTGCCTTCCTCCAGGAGGATCTTGAACAGAAAAAAAAAAAAAGATGCAGTAAAGCAGAAAAGGAATGAAAATAATTATTAGCAAAAAGTAAAGCCAACTGTTAAGGGCCTTGTTACAGGGTGCTGGGCGAAGCATCTGTCTACAGTATCTCCTCCATGCTTCTCCGGACTACGGTGCAGTGCCACATCCTCTCGTTCTGTAGACGATGGTACAGAACAGTGATAGATTCAGAGCAAAACGGAAGAGAAGGGAGGGGCGCTTGAAGCGTGCGCCTCCCCTTGCATGACCTCTCCTCAGCCTCACACTGTGCGACACTGAGGACCCAGCCCTGCTCGGGGGAACCTCCCCAAGTCTACAGTTTGCACGCGGGGCTGCTATTTGTTTATTTGTTTGGTACTAGGGTTTGAATTCAAGGCCTTGTGCTTGCTAGACAGGTGCTCTAAAGCTGAGCCATACCTCCAGCCTCACTTTACACTGGTCCTTTTTGAGGTAGGGTCCGCCTGCCTGCCTGGATGCACACTTGGACTGCAATTCGCCTATTTTCAGCTTCCCATCATTGCCAGGATGACAGGCAGGTGCCACGGTGTCCAGCTGCAGAGATATGATGGAGTCGCAGTCTTTCCTTCCCAAACTCACCTGGAACTTCAGTCCTCCCAGTCTCAGCCTCCCTCATATCAGCATACCATAGTGGCCAGACAGGGCTGAAAGGGGTTCTGCAAACACCTCTGCCTCAGCTGACCTTGAACCTCACTTCTCCATTTCTCAGCCCCCTCAGTAGCCAGGATTACAGGCATGGGCCATCGGCTCCTAGCTAGTGCCCATTCTTGGCAGTATCCATTCACTGGGTGTGGACAAATGGTAATGACACATACCACTACCAGAGCACCACTGTGATTAGTTTCACTGACTGCCTCCTTCTTCACCTAAGAAACTGGAGGTTAGAAGGTCAAGAAGCTGTCCCTACACCTCAGATTTCACCAGAAATAGAGCTCACGGCCCCCCACCCCACCCCAGCCATTCTACATTTGCTGTTTCTTGTTGGAAAGAAATCCAACTTTTTAAATTTTTGATCAAGAACGCTCCATCTTCAAAGGAAAGGCAATGCAGGGACATTTTCTCATTCCGGAGGGCTGCAGCTCCACCTCACGCCACGCACTGCTGCCTCCTGGTCCCTGCCAGGCATTGTATTCTGTGAATCATTGAGTTAAAGAGGACAATGGGGGACTGGTGCCACCGAACCACTGCCCCCGCTACCCCCCCAACTTGGGCAGGCCTGTCCTACAGTTTCCCTGTCGTCGGTGGAATCTTTCAGAGCCAAGGGTTGTTGGTGTTTAAATAATTGACACATCACTCTCACGCCTCTGAAGAACAAGCACCTAGTCTCATTTTTTAAAATTAATAGTCCAAAGATCTGATTTTGTTTGTGAATAATTAATGTATCTTGCTGGCCTAAAACAGTGATTCTGAATGGAAAATGTTTTCCATGTCTGGAAACAATTTTGCTTTTCGCAGCTGGGGATAGGGTGGGTGGAGTCAAGGACGGAGTGACATGACTGCTGTCCAATGGGTAGAGGCCCAGGATCCTGCTATAATTCACACAACACCCCCTCAACACATACGACACACACACAATCCAAGATTGCCAAGCTTGTTTCTCACATTTCTAAGAACTCCACATGTATGATTCCACTTCATTTGTCCAGAACCCTAATCTGTCATTGATAGCAATATTCAATGGATATGAAGCCCCTCGTACTTATGCACTTTTGAAGTGGGTCAGAGGTTCTAGCAGTAAGGAAGCTAGAAGGGGGGCTGGCCTTCGGAGTTCACAGACAGTGGTTTACCCATAAAGACCTGCAGGTCCCCAGATCAGCGTAAAAGGCCTCAGCACATCACCCCACCCAGCTGCATTTGGTTTCCCTGAACTGAAACGTGGGTTTCCTTTGTTAGCGAATCCTGAGCATTAGGGCATAATTCCACGAAATGAATACCATAGTGCTGTACTCAGCATAAATGTGAGTTGATGATGACACTGATTTGTTCCCTTTTTTCTGATTCTTATTCTGTTATTTTGTCAATGTGTATGTGAGATATTCCTTAACAACAGGATAGGAAAGGGGTTGCTGTTGTTTCGTGGCTGGTGTTGTTTGTTGTTTCAGTAATGGCGCGTAAACTCAGGGTATTAGTAGCCTGCTGCTTCTACCACTTGAGCCATGTTCCCATGTGCTTTTCCTTTAGTATTTTTTCATATGTCTTCTGTTTTTGCCTGGGCAGGCCCTGGACCACAATCCTCCCGCCTTCACCAATCAAGCAAATGGGATTACAGACATGTACTACCTAATACCTGACTTGTTTTAGAGACAGGGTCTTGCTGACATTTTGGCTGGGCTAGCTTCAAATTGCAATCCTTCTATGAGTATCTGGAATTAAAGGCATGTGCCACCTTAATGACCCAACGAAAGTTTTAAGACACCACACACATTCATAAGGAGGGAGATACCGAGAGAAACTGAGGAACATACTCCAGGAATCATCAAGTTTCTGCAGAGTAAACAAATGCTTTAGAATGCTTCCTTCTGTAGTTTGTAGAAAAACCTGAATAAATTATCTCACGGGATCTTGGCCATCCCACAAAAGGTTCCAGCCTACATCAGGAATCCCAGGTAAGCTGGGAAGATGCTCTGAGGGAATTCATGGGTATCTCCCTCTTCTGTCGTGCAGATGCGCTGTGGACCGGCATCCCACTGATATAAACATCAACTTAACAATACTTTGTTCTGATTCCAATGGAAAAAACAGATCATCAGCACGAATCTTACAGATAATAAAGGGCAAAGATTATGGTAAGTCAGGAACGATTTGTTGGTTTTGCTTTGGTTTGAGTTTGCTTTCAGTGTATGCATTTACAATGAAAGAAATTCTGTGAAATAATCATTTGAGAAAGAATACAAATATTGGCCTAACCTGTGGAAGTGCCACTCTGTGCCAAGTCACTCTCTTTTTAAAGACACAGGGCTATTTATATGCCCCAAGGTTCTATCTGCCTCCCTTTCATGGCTTGAATGGTTCTCTAGTAATGTCTTAATCACTGAATAGCTTCAAAAGTTAGAGATTATACTTGGCTTGTCTGAGAACCAAAATGCACAACTTCTGCTTAGTTTAGAAGACAAAAAACTTGTTCTTATATCTTTCATGCAAAGAGAGAGAGGAAAAAAAAGAAGTCTTAAGGATAATAAGTTTTTCAATACCAAACATGGTAATTGCAGCAAATGGGAAAATTATGTTTCAAATAAGAACAGAATATTTTAGAAGGTGTTTGTCCTGGAGAAGACAGTACAAAATAGAGTTGTAAAGATGAGTCATGGAATGGGGTAATTAAATATCATTTCTAATGGCCTGATTACTAGAATGCTTAGAGAGAACATAAAAATATAAAGCTGTATATCAATGTGTCTAAAATGCTTAGTATGTTTAACATTTTATATGTGTGTATATATTTCTATATACATATATATTTTGGTCGGTTGTGGGGCCTGAACTCTGGGCCTGGGCACTGTCCCTCAGCTCTTCACCTTAAGGCTAGCGCTCTACCACTTGAGCCACAGAGCCACTTCCGACTTTTTCTGCTTATGTGGTGCTGAGGAATCGAACCAAGGGCCTCATGCATGCAAGGCAAGCGCTCTACCACTGAGCCACCTTCCCAGCCCTTTAATATATATTCCTTCTGAAGGAAGCAATATACTCAGCATTATTATGATTCAGGGACCATAGTAGATTAAGATTATTAACTGATTGCTCTTCTTATTTGCCTATTCAATAAAGTTATTTATTCAGCAGTAGGAATGAAGCAGCTGTGTTAGTTCATGTGGTATTTAGTTATTTTTACTTTACTTTTTCAGGTATTTCTGTGTGTGTGTGTGTGTGTGTGTGTGTGTGTGTCTTTAAAAAGCCAAACCAAAGAGTAATGTGGTCTAAGAAAAGTCTGTCAGCTACCTGCTCACTGGTATTTGGGCTATCTCTGAAGATTAACTCAAATTCTGCAACACATTGAGATCCAAACAAAACCAGTTACAGTGTGACTAACTACATGTTAATGTCTTTTAAAGTACACTGCAGTGCTTACTCTACTCCAGACATTGTGTAAGCACTTAGAAACGTTCCTCATTGCAGTCACAGAAAAAGTGTCCGTGTCCATGATGAGCACTGTAATCAGCCAGAGTACACACAGGGAAACCGAGGCATCGGAAAGTCAGTACCACACGCAGCATGTAGCAAGGGATGGACAGGAATGGGAGTGGCTGGACCCCAGAGTTCACGTCACACCGTCCCTGGGGTGCTGTGTACTCAAAACGTTTATTGCAGGCAAAGAACAGTGCATTTCAAAATTACTGCATTTCCCCAAAGGTCTTGCATTAAAGACTCCCTATTGGTGGCCATTTTCACAATAAATGTGTAAGAAATAATTTTCAGATTAGCATACCTACCTTCAAGTATGTACCCACACGTATGGAAAGACTGACATGACTACACACATAATTGAAAAGGAATTAATAGAATAGACTTTGCTAACCACACAACTGTAAACAAAATGATTAAAATATTTTAAATGAAGATATGGCTTAACAAACTAGCAGTGTTTTAAAATATGTAACAAATATGGTTTAAAACCATTTATGGTCTTTAACTTTTAAACAAACATTTTGTATAGTTTTACAGACAGAGATCTGGTTTGTTAAATATAACAAGAAGCATTTTTTAAAAAGAAAAATTCAATGGTTAAAAATGAAGCTGGAGCCAGGCGCTGGTGGCTCACGCCTGTAATCCTAGCTACTCAGGAGGCTGAGATCTGAGGATCGCGGTTCAAAGCCAGCCCGGGCAGGAGAGACCGTGAGACTCCTATCTCCAATAAACCACCAGAAAACCGGAATTGGCGCTGTATGTAGCTCAAGCGGTAGAGCGCTCGCTTTGAGCGGAAGAGCTGACAGACAGCGCCCCAGGCCCAGAGTTCAAGCCCCACGACCGACAAAAAAAAAAAAAAATGAAGCTGGGCACCGGTGTCTCATGCCTGTAATCTTAGCTATTCAGGAACCTGAGATTTGAGGATCACGGTTCAAAGCCAGCCTGGGCAGGAAAGTCTGTGAGACTCTTATCTCCAATAAACCACCAGAAAATCAGAAGTGGCGCTGTGGCTCAAGTGGTAGAGTACTCTCCTTGAGCTAAAGAGCTGAGGGACCATACCCAGGCCCAGAGTTCAAGCCCATGACCGAAAAAAAAAAAAAAAAGTGCAGTTGTCTTTTCAAGTAGCTTGGATTTTAAGGTCTATCATTAGGACTTCCAAACTACCCAGATTTTATTGATATATCCTGTCAATTACAGCAGGAGAAAAATTGAAGAACATGCTCATTTCATTAAATTCTGCCCAAAGGTCTTTTACATTTTGCTCCAATTGGTACAAAGACTGTGGATTTTCACTGACTACCTCTTGTGGTGCAGGACACATTTTAGAGCTGAGGGGAACAGTGATACCACTGCTTCCCTCCCATTACTGTGCCACGATGAAAAGATGCTCTTCTGACCGAATGCTCTCTCTTTCCAGAAAGTGAGCCCTCACTTTTAGAATTCAAGCCATTCAGTAACGGCCCCTTGGTTGGTGGATTTGTTTACCGCGGCTGCCAGTCTGAAAGACTGTATGGAAGCTACGTGTTTGGAGACCGGAATGGGTATGTTCCTTGATACCACAAGTTGCGATGGCAGATGACCCATCCGTCCGTCCATCCATCCATCCATCCATCCATGCATCCATCCATCCATCTGTGGGCCATGACACTACCATGTCATGGCCGCCTCACGGTGGGGTCAGACTTGGAACACAGGAGAACATTAGAACTTCCTTCCATTCTACTTTATCTGGAGGTTAATTCGAAGGAGATACCTTTCAACAGGCTTGATCCATAAATAAAATAATGCGTAAAAATAATTTTGAGGGAAACTGAGGCAGGACGAGGCCAACCAGAGTTACCTCGGGAGACACTTTCTTCAGTTAAAATAAAAATAAAAATTGTTGTTACTGTGTAGTAATTAGATATTATATAGTGTATATATCACATTATATTATTTCATAATTTTATTATGATAGACTTGCTATATTGTTTTGGTCGTTCCTTTCCCCCTCAGTGTAAATTTACGATTGAAAATGAATACTTTGAAAACTGCCATTTTATGTGATTAGACAAATATTTCTAAAACTATCTTGGAAGTCTAAAGAGTCTCAGTTTTGCCAGATTTTCAGCAGAATGTGGTTTGTCCACATGGGTAAGTATACTACGAAGTTCCATGTTTTGAGGTCACATGCAGACAATTATGAGGTACTGCATGATGAGATCCACCCCGAATCCTGGTTTCCAGTCGGCTGGCAGGCGGAGAACCAGCTGGACAGCGCCTGGAAAGGACACAGCCCCGTGGTCATTCTCTGGACCACTGGACTGGCAGGGAGAGCTTTCCTCCTGCCCACATTCCATTAGTGCCCCTCCAAATGCCCAGCCCCTCTCAGATATGGAAAATTCACAGTATCGCACACTCTGTGGGCTAAAGCGAGGTCCATGACCCAACAATTATCTTTGCTTTCAACATTTAAGAGTGGACTTCGGGCTAGGGCATGTTTTCCTTATAGACTGACTGACTGACTGCACAATTTTGTTGTAGGAATTTTCTAACTCTCCAGCAAAGTCCAGTGACAAAGCAATGGCAAGAGAAGCCGCTGTGCCTCGGCACCGGGGGCTCCTGTCGAGGATATTTCTCAGGTCACATCCTGGGATTTGGAGAAGATGAATTAGGTATGGCATAAATTACTTCTATCCAGCTCCATTCCTGCTGGATTTTTTCCCCCTCCAGAGTCTTGGTTCTACCCTAAAGAATAATACATTTGGCCTCCATTTATTGGAAATGTAACCTGCAGCAAGGGAAATTCATTGGAAAGTTTTAAACTGATCCAGTTTGTGTATTCTCTTCCAGTTACATTTCCTAAAAAATTGTTACATCTTATTTCCAATCTTGAAATACAAAAGTAATAAGACAGGCCAGGCACAGAGAGTCACACCTCTAATTCCAGCCCCTGGGAATCAGGCATAGATCTGGAGGGCTGTGGTTTAAGTGAGGATGTTGAGAATAGAGAGAGGAGGAAAGACATGGGAAGTTTGGTTAGAATGCTGTTACCATGATCCATGTCCTGCTTGTACTGCAATGCTGTGGGAGACACAGGAAGTGACTGGAGTCTGGATGTCTGGTGAAGGAGGTTCCTGAGATGCTGATACAACCTGAGGATGGGTGGGAGGAGGGGATTGTGGGGGGGAGGAGAGGAGATGGGAGGGAGAAGAAGGGAGATGAGGGCAGAAAAGGGAGGGAAGGAAGAGGAGAGGGAGAGAGGGGCAGAGATTGGAAGAGAAAGGTAGTACAGGCTAGACAGTAATGCCCTGCTGGGAATGAAGTTGTTATTTCTCCCCAACAGGCGAAGTTTACATTTTATCGAGCAGTAAAAGCATGACCCAGACTCACAATGGAAAACTCTACAAAATTGTAGATCCCAAAAGGTAGGATTTCTTCTTTAACAAATCCATGTAAATCACGCGAGTCTTTGCATTGAAGTTCATTCAAATTTGTGATAAGGGGTAGATCTTTTGCCTTGCAAATACAAAATCCCCAGTTCTGAGAAAGATAGAAGTGGGTGGGGGGAAGAATCCATGTTCAAAATAAAACAACACATGCACATGTGAAATACCAAGGGGAAACCCTTTGGACAGTTAATATACACTTAAAAAATGGAGTGACAGGAATGCAAAACCAGCCCTGCCTAGGGTGTGTGTCCGTATGGGAGGGAAGAGGATGGATAGAGAGGGCAAAAGAGGGTGGATATGCTAGAAATACCGTGTGGGAAGGATAACAGGCAAGGGCAGGGATTCGGTGGGTAGGAGACTGGCGGAGGGAGGGGGTCTGATCATGGCACACCGTACGCCATACATGGACACATCAAAATGAAGCCCCAGTGCACAGCTACCTGCATTAATAATTTTAACACAGCAAATAAGTGAAAGCACAACTAGACAATCAGTAAGCAAAAAATGATTTCAAAACACAACAGTGATAGAGGAGAGTCAGTCAGCCAGCAGCCATCTGAAACAGCTCCTGAGGTGTGACCTTAAACACTCACCCATGTCGTTCTTGTCATCCTACAGTCGTGTTGTCCTTAGGGAACCAGAGCTCTCAGCTAAACCCCAGGGGAAAACCCCCAGGAGGTGTGGTGGCTTCCGCTCAGGTGCTGGAAACCATAAACCTTATTTTTGCAAGAACAAGAAGTATTCTGGCAGACATTACTCTGTTTATTGTGATTATTTTGTTAGTCAATAATCAGGAGCTGTTATTTTGTCAGCTCCCCACCTGAGCTTCATTCCAGAACTGTCTGTCTGAAAGCTCACAGCTCTCATGAAGATTGCTAGGCCTGAACTATGAACATTGAGGGCCCTCCCCTCCCCACCCCCACCCCCCGACCAAAATGATTTGTTACTCGCCTCAGCAAAAAACCAAGTGTTTTCATCCTTTCAAGAATATGTTTAGTCAGTATGCTGCCAGTAGCTCACACCTGTAATCCTAGCTACTTAGGAGACTGAGATCTGAGGATCATAACTGAAGCCAGCCCAGGCAGGAAAGTCCATGAGACTCTAATCTCTAACTACTCAGAAGCTAGAAGTGGAACGGTGGCTCAAGTGGCAAAGTGCAAGACTCGAGCACAAAGAAAGCTCAGGGACAGCGCCTAGGACCCGAGTTCAAATCTAAGGACTGGTACAACAACAGAAAGAATATGCCTACCTGCTCCTGTTCCTTCCCATCCTCACATCTCTGCATGGACACACCTACAGCTTTCATGAATAATGTCAACTTCACATGTGAGAGCTGCACGGTCAGCGTTGCTGAAATCTCAGGCAGAAACTGAAATAAAACAAAACCTACGTAATCCTCACAGATGCAACCAGGTAGCATTAGAGACAATATCACTGCCCACAGCACCAGTGCTGCACATTTCAAGATCTTTCTGCATTCACTTATTTGAGTTTCCAGTCTCTTCCAAGAGATCCTCACAATCCAAAAAAGTTAACCAAGGCATTGACAACATTTGAGTTGAAAGGTGTTACTCGGAAGTTGTCAACCATGTGTGCTATCCTGAAAATGACAGGACAATATTTCCTGACTGGAATAGGAGTTGGTGTTGGCTGCTGCAGAACGAAAAGTCTCTCCGCAGCATCCCATGTCACAGGTCATCTGTGGAGGACGTTCCTTCTCTGTTTAGTAGTCTGTGTTCTCACAATAAGAGAAGTACCTTTGGGACAGGTAGGGGGATGGGACGTGTTCCCATCTTGAGTAAAATCAAGTGTTCTCTTTGAGAAAACTCACAAAGCAGTCAGACGATTAGGTGATCGTTGAAGTGCTTCATGGGCAGCATTAAGAATAGAAGTCAGCTGGGCATCCATGGCTCACATACGTAGCTACTCAGAATGCTGAGATCTGAGGATGGTGGGTCGAAGCCAGGAAAGTCTGAGAGACTCTTATTTCCAATAAACTGCTCAGAAAAAGCAGGAAGTGGCGCTGTGGCTCAAGAGGTAGAGCACTAACCTTGCGCACAGAAAGGCTCAGGGACAGCACCCAGGCCCTCAGTTCAAGCCCCAGGAGAATAGAAGTCAAAGTAATGTTACCTCATAATACAGGCGCATTCTAATGATGCATAATGAGGTGTTGGGATTTCACTCCCATCCAATGCAATTAGTTGTAAAAATAGTAGTCGTCGTTGCTCCATTATGCTGTCAAAGCTGATGTGCTTCCACAAACTTCCCAGCAGTGCTCCAGTGAATTCTCTCTCCTCACAAAAGGTCTTTCTCTCCTCATCTGGATTGTTTAGTCTGTTGGTGAGTGGAGGTGAATTTTACACCTTCAGCCCATTATTAGGGTCTAATTACCAGGGTTTCCATAGGAACATTGGCTTTGTGATCTTTGCGCCCCGTCTAGTAGGGTGGTCTTCGAGTGACACCTGAAAACCCGGCTTCTCACCAAGGTGCCTGTTTCCGGTGAGTCACGTCACGCGCAGGGCCGGGGGTGAGGGTCTGTGTTTGCTTTTGGGGAGGTGGGGGATGGTGCAGAGGCCCGAAGACACCGTCTTTGCACACAGGCACACATTCCTAAATTAAACTGACTACAAGAAAACGAATGTTCTCATTGACCTTTCTGACAGTCTCATGCCCACGTCGGTGCGGATGCCAGTGTTTATTATTACAGTCCTTCTCCCTACATGAGCTGGAGTTTGCATAAGCATGCGCTTAAGTGTGTTTGAACAGGATGAGTTTGGAAACGTGAGCTAATTAGCAGCATGGTACTGCTCAGGACGTCAAGGCAGAACTGTTTGAGAATGTGGAGCCAAATTTGAAAAAGAACCTCACCCACTGAAAAATACAATGTATGGACTTACTGCGACGTAAGATCTGACTCGCAGTAAACAGCTGTCCTGTGCAGGGCCATCAGACTCTTAGCATAATGTTTTCTGATAACTTTCAAACATCAACTGACTAATGGCCCTAGGGGAATTTCTTCCTCTACCAGATTATAAGGGTTTGATTTCTATACTTGGTGTCAATGAAGTTATATTATGTTTTTAAACATATATATTAAACACACACAGGGGAAGACAGAGTCAGGAAATCATATGTAAGATCTCACAGATGAGGCTCCAACATTACTTCAAACACTGTGAGGACACTTTGATCTAAGGCTATAAATTACACCATCGTTTGCATAAATGCAAATCATTTACAGTAGGACACATGCCTCCAAAAACAATGGTGAGGTAGCCTGTTAATAACTACCAGAAGATATCATTCCTAATAAAAGCAAAAAAAAAAAATTCAAAAATGAAAGAACCAAGCCAGGCTTCCCTCAGGCTGACCTAGGACTCTGAAGTTAGTTAAGGAAAACCCTTTCCTATGGAAATAGCCCAAAAAAGAGCAGACGCCATGTCAGAACACTGAACACACTTCAGTAATAGCTGTAATGAGAGAGCAAGTAATTGTGTCTTACGGCAGAGTGGAGTTGGGGTCAGGTCAGCCTCAGTCACCCAGCTGGCTTAACCAGCCTAACAGGGTCCAAAAAGTCTCTAGTACTGAGCTCAGTCCTCCGGAGGGCCCTGGCCTTGGAGACTCCTTCAGTTAACGGTTTCAGCAAAACAGGTTTCCATGTTCTGAGCACAAGATCTGGGCAGTGATTGCATTTTCACTTAGTAGTACCGCCTATAAGGAGGCCATCCTGGCAGGATCCGGTCTGGTCTCAAGTCTTCCTCAGCGGAGGACATTGCAGACGGTATTTCACCATATTGTACCGCTTTGCCCATCAAAAAAATAAAATTCCCAGAAAGGACAGAGGATCCTTCTTTCTCTGCCTCATTTCTACCAAGGGCTCTGAAGTGAGTAAAGTCATGTATTTAAAACATTTTAGGGCCGGGTGCTGGTTGCTCACGCCTGTAATCCTAGCTACTCAGGAGGCTGAGATCTGAGGATTGCAGTTCAAAGCCAGACCAGGCAGGCAACTCCATAAGACTCTTATCTCCAATAAACCACTCAGAAAATGGAAGTGGTGCTGTGGCTCAAGTGGTAGAGCACTCAGCTTGAGTTGAAGAGCTGAGGGACAGCGCCCAGGCCCAGAGTTCAAGCCCCATGATGGACAAAAATAAATAAATAAATAACATTTTAGGTTTTCTAATATTGCTGGTGCTCATTCCATGCATTCCACAATTATTTTCAGAGACCTCTCAACCATTGAAGTTTTCTCTGTTCCAAAACTGGAATAAAGATATGCATGGATCTTTATTGAGTTTTTAATACCTAGTTCTTAAATATTCAAGTCATGCCTTTTGTTTAACTAATTTTTTTCAGAATTAAATGCTCCTGGGGGTAGAAATTTCAAATACCTAACAGTTATATAATTTCTAAGTTTTCTTTTCTATAGAACAGAGCTTTCTTTTCTCTCAACAATCATGGATTTTTTTTTAATTTTGGGGAAACTGAATGATATTTTTAAAAATCCAAAATGTTTGTAGGGTTTATTTCCCCAAGAATATGGAAAACAAATTCTTCTTCGTCCTTCTGATCCACTCGTTATGTTCCAAGCCTGACTCTATCTCTGCCGCGCTGATCTGTCACCCAGCCAGGTCACACGCAAGATTCTCCTCTGAAGTCTATAAGTGAACAATGCAAATTCCAGGCCCGAGCAGTCCTTCTCTCTCTACTCCTCTGAGACCAGTATCAAAAACTGACCCTCCCACCTTCTGCCCACCCTTATTAACGCTGGGTGCCGAAGAGTGCTTTTATTAAAAAGAAACAAGAATCACTCTTACATAAGGGGAAATCAGTTCTGTTTATGCTTCACATATGTCCCAGGGAGCAGGCAGGCAGCTCTGTCATCCTAAAGAAAGGCATACATAATAGAGCAGCTTTAGCCTCGTAAGCCAGTCTAGTCCCAATTCATCAGTCAAAGTTTTATGCGAGTGGCCCCCTAA